CCTCAACAGGAATAGCTAAGCCCTCTTTTTGTACCATACTGTAGAAGTAGTGCTCATAATTATTTATTAATCATTGCCATAATAGTAGTAGATTAGACCACCATAAGTGGTAGGATTTATAATTATATTTATAAGGTAAACTATTTGTGGTTTAAGAATGAGCCATCTCAAAGTGGTTTAAGCTGCAAATTGTCCCCCCAAATTGTGTGAGATAAATTCAGGCAGCTGAATCAGTACGTACAATCCACTCACTTAATTACTCACTCACCTAATTACTTACTCACTTAATTATTTACTTGGTTAATTAGCTAACTTATTACTAAAAACTAAGAAAATAAATCAGATAAAACTTTATCTTATTAAAGTCAATTAAAAATAAGTAGAAATATTTATTAATTAAAGAATTAAGCTGCTAGGATTTTCCCATAGTCCCTAGGGCAGGGGTGACATAAGCTTGTCTCAAGAAATTGGTATCTAGGCTCACTGACACTACCGGACACCCTAACAGATACAGATTTTCTGAGTCAGCACCTCAGTGTGCTGATCGAGAGGGGAAACACGCCTGCTGTCTTCCCTTTTCCTGTCTGAAAGGTGATGAGGTCCAAGAGATACACAATCTTAAACATTCCAATACATTTATCAAAATTTTAATTGCAACTTTATAAATATCATATACAGTAATATAAAAACAAAAGAAGTGTGGGTGGTACGAAAGGGAAATGGAACCTCCAATGGGGGGGGGGGGGGGACCTAAAAATCCTATAGGTTTAACCACTATTTTACTGAATACACAAAAATAAGAGAATGAGAATTTTGAGACATACAACTGGTGTTCATCTGAGATTTTAGACCATTAAAGAGGGGTGCCGATTTAGGTGTGGATGCATTAGGTGATCCACATCCTAATCATATAAAGTTGCTTAGCACATTAAACGTGGATAATAACATCTAATTCTCTTGTCATTAGAGCTTCGAACCACTGACCACAAAAGCAGTAGCCTATCGCTCTAGGCACTTCACCGCTGAACACCCCACAATAAAAAAGTGGCTGGCAGGAATATTGTGACCCATAGCAATGTGCTGAGACCTCTGGCACACACCCTCGCAGGTTTCATCCAATACACACCGTCCTCATCTCTTCCAATAAAGATACTCCCTGTCACCCCCCCCCCCCTTCCACACCTTCCCAGTCTCATCTTATTACTGTAACCATTTTCTAAACACAAATTCTTCATCACCATAAAAGTCTTCACGTATATGTCCACTTACCATCCTATTTACTTCCTATTCGTATTCACCCTTATACTCTACGACTGTAATAACTTTCACTGCACACCACATCACTGTAATCAGATGGTACATGCATTTGTTCATTCATTTTCTCCTTGACACTAACCAAATTGTTCTCTATGAATGCATATATGACCTCATTTCTTCAGATGATTAAGTTTATGGACTCCGGGCTGAACATTTCACATCTTCAGACTCTGTGAAGGAAGGACATTGGGGCCGTGTCCCCCTTTAGGGACGGGGGTCTCCGGACCGACCCTAATCACCCTACGCCACTAGAAATAACAGCACTCCATCTACAAGCGTCTAGCTTCTTGCCTCGACCTGACAGACAGAAGAACATTTTCACTTATAGATATAAAAGGTGTAACCGGTGCTGCCCGGGTTTCTGTCCGTCTGTCTCTCCGTCTCTCCCTCCCATCCATTCTCCCATTCTCCATCCCTCCCATTTTCTCTGTCCCCCATTTCCCCTCCTTATCTCAATCTCTCATTCTCTCGGTCTTCCTTCCGTTCTTCCTCTTCCCCTTTTAATTTATGTCCCACTTACCATTCTTCCCCATTTTACCCCATTCTCCCTCCCATCCCATTCCCATTCAATCCCTTAAATTTTTACTCCCCTCACATCCTCTCACCCTCTTTTCTCCCCACTCAGCCTCGTTTTCTCACTCCCTAATGTTCTTTTCTCCTCATTTGTTCAGTCCGATTATCCCTTCTTTACTTACGTCATCCTATTCTATATTCACCTTCCTTCTCTTTTATTCTCTACCATTCTCTGTCTACTAGTAGGCGAAACATACTCGAGTAACGTTGAATCCACTTTGAATCTATGTTGTCGACGTTGTACCAATGGTATCATCATTGAATCAGTTATACCGACGTTGTACCAATGTTATCAACGTTGAATCAGCTATAGCGACGTTGAATCAATGTTATCAACGTTGAATCAGTTATACCGACGTTGTATCAATGTTATCAACGTTGGTTCCGCTATACCGACGAAAATCAATGTTAATAACGTTGATTCAATTTCGATAACAGCGCAAAAACCGCCCTCCCTTGGGAAACTCTGTATGGATAGTGAAACTCACATTTCAGCCCTACTGCGATTTTTTGATAGTGGAGAACCTATCCTACTTAAGGCATAGTGATCGATCCCATCCAGCCAGTGACACTTGTAATACAATCACAGTCCTTCCCATGGAGAGTTTGTGAAGCTTAGTGCAACTTTCTGGTCACCAAACTCGGACAGAGAAACGGATATTCACTATTATAGTTTAAAATAGATAGATGGAGTATTGGGTAGTGTCTGGTGATTTGTGTGTCTCTCTCTCACTACATCCTTTCCTTTTGTCCTCCCTCTCTTTTTCCATTGACCCTCTCTCTTTTCTAAAATCCCTCCCTTCCTCTAATCTCCATCTTTCTATTCCCCTTCCTTAACTCTCATTCACCCTAACTCCAACAACTCTCTCTCAAATTCTCCCGACCCTTCTTCCTTCTCTTCCTTCCTTCGCCTCTCCCTCCCCCCCCCTCCCTACCTCCCTCCCTCCCTCTCTCACTCGCTGTCTCATTCCCTCTCCCTTTCCCATTACCTCATTCTCCATTCCTTTAGTTTTCTCTGCCTCTCTCCCGTTCTCTCTCCCACTTGTGAGAGAAATTACAAGAGAACGTTACATGCTCGAGTAATTTGAACATTTGACTTTGAATCAAAGTAATTGACGTTGATTCAACATTGATAACACCGGAAAACCTGTTGCTAAACCCTCTACAACAATGTCCATATTTTAGACTTTAACGATGTTATTAGTTGTCGCATTACGAGCCAATCTTTCCAAACGAGTTGCATGGGGGATCGACCCCCAACCATCCTGTTACCCTCGTCATGCAGTAGCAATCTTTCTGGGAAAGTTGAGTGGGGGTTAATCGCAGCTGTCTGACCTTTAACCTCGCATAGACAGAGAGAAACTTACAAAAATTGTCTTATAGAAGTACTAGGGTTGGGGGGGAGGGGGGGGGATTACCCAGGTCACTTTCCCCTGTTTTCCTTTCATCTTGTTTTGCTCTTCTGTTTCTCTATCCCACCATCTCCTCCTATCTTCTCCCCGCACTATCTTCCTTCCTCGTGATCTGCCCTCATTCCCTGTCACTCTTCTTCTCTACCTTTATCTCTTTACCTCTACCCCCTCTCTCCAAATCCTCTGCAACATTTCAACCCCCACTCTTTCTAATCATCCCTCCTCTCCACCTCTCACGCACCTATTCTCCCTCTCCGCTCCATCCTTTTTCCCAATGTTTCCCCTCTCCTAACTTTTTCACCTCTCCTCCCTCTTTCACCTCTCCCCCCTGTTCTCATCTCGCCTCCCCTCTCTAACTGTGCTCTCCTCTCTTTCCCTCTCGCTCATCATCGCCTCTGTTCCTTCTATCTCTCACTGTTTCAGAGAATCTAATAATAATTGAAGCTTAAATTCTTGTGATAAATCTAGGGACTTTGTGAACCACATTTCACTATTATGACATTCGGAGTCTGTTGGGCCCGATATCCTTTTAATAAAACCAATTGGAGTGGCCCCTACCTGCCTGTATCCGTCCCGTACCCTAGACCATTCACCCTGCATATGTTTGGTTCATTCCCCACCTCCCTTCCATTCTTCTTTTTCCCATCTATTCTCCGTTCTTCCATACCATCCATTCTTGTTTTTTTCCTATCCACCCTCATAGTCTTTATACCTCCCACCCATTCTCCAATTCTGTGATAGTCCCTTCCTCTCTTCCTCCCTCCTTTCCTCCCTCCCTTCCACTCGTTATCTCTCACTTTATCCGTCCTGTTCTCTCTCCTAGTGTTCAAAACATGCTCGTGAAAGTTCAAAGTCAATATTATCAGAGTTCAATGAACGTTCAGTTACGTTATAGAAGTTAAATCAACGTTCCGGACTTTTAAAGTCGAAAACGGCAGAAAATCTGTTTGTATTGCTAAGCACTTAATGGCAAAACCAACCCACAGTTCACATTCCGCATCAGACGTTGGTTGTCGCAATAGATGCCAAGAAGATGGGTATGGGGGTTCCACCCTAACTACCCTATGTCACTAGTTTTACAATCACCATTCACTGTGGGAAATTGTCTGAAGCTTTCCGCAACTGTTTGACCAACCTGTCCTCCTACAAAGACCGTCGCTTTTCATTCGTATGCGTTACATCAGGCCAACAATTGTCGTACTAGAAAATGGAAGCGGCTCGCGCAAGTGACGCTCTGCCCAGTTTTCTGTTTTGGGTTCTCTGGTAGGTTAGGAGAAGACACGTTATATTGACCATTTTCTTGACGTTGGGAAACTTTTGGAGGATGAGCTTGTTTGACCCTCAAACTGGGACAGGCAAATGAACAGTTATTCTCATTTAGTGATACTGAAAGTGTTACCCGGCGGTTCCCGGGGTCAAATCGGTGACCAGGTCTCCTCCACACAATTCTCAATCCATACATACACCCTCCTTGGCTCTTTTTATGCATATACTTAATGTTCTCTCTCTCAATTACTATTAATATATTCAATACACACTCCTCTTCATTGTAAACCGCTTCCCAACCTTTACATTTCTCTCTTCACA